ATGACCTTGAGTGATTCATTACTGTGCCTCATTACCTCATCTCTCTCTCTTTTTTTAAAGATTTTATTTATTTATTTGACAGAGATCACAAGTAGGCAGAGAAGCAGGCAGAGAGAGAGAGGGGGAAGCAGGCTCCCCGCTGAGCAGAGAGCCCAATGCAGGGCTCAATCCCAGGACCCTGGGATCATGACCTGAGCCGAAGGCAGAGGCTTAACCCACTGAGCCACCCAGGCACCCCTCATTACCTCATCTTAAGAATGGGATTATGTGTGTACATGGGTGGCTCAGTGGGTTAAATGTCTGCCTTCAGCTCAGGTAATGAAACCAGGGTCCTGGGATCAAGCCCCATGTCGGGCTCCCTGCTCAGTGGGGAGCCTGCTTCTCCCTCTCCCTCTAACCATTCCCCTGCTTGTGCTTTTGATCTCTCTCTCAAATAAATAAATAAATGAAATCTTTTAAAAAAAGAATGGAAAGAATAAAAAAACACCAATGTCATGTGGCTGTTCTGGGAATTAATGCATCAGAGCAGTGGAAAGACACCCAATACAGAGCAAGATGTCAGTGTTGGTTGGTGCTGCTGTCCTCCTAATGTCGCGACCTACAAGCCTGCCTGAGTGAGGCTGACTGGCCTCATTGTAGAGATCAGAAAAACCAAGAAAGAGGTTAAATAGTAAAGCATTTCCATGTGCATCATCTCCTTCAAAGGCTAAAGGGCTTGCCCCTGTTTCACTCGCCAGTACTTATGATGATATGCATTTCAGGCTGGAGGAGATTTGGAAATTATCGAGCCAAGGTGATGTGCATTGACCCCAAAGAGAAGGGGAATGAGGCTAGGAAGGAGGCCATCGGGGTCAGTGCTGCCTTATTCCTTGCCTTCTACAGAATTCCTCCAGAGGCCGGCCAGTGGGATGGCTGAAAGGGCAGCCCCGAGCACCAGACTGCCTGGGTCCAAAGCCTGCCTATCGTCTTTCCCTTAGCTCACCTGAGCAGCGGCATAGCGACAGTGCCCATCTCACCGAGCTCTGGTGGGGGTTCAGTGAGGTAGTATGTGCGGAGCAGGTACCGAGTGGTACACACAAGCACTTAGTAAGTCTTAGTGCAATATACCTGCCCTCCACTAACTGTGTCTGCTATAGCAGCGTGGTAGGAGAGCTTAGCCATGTTTATGGTAGTTGTTTCCCCACAACGCCCCTTAGGCACTGAAAGCGTGTTCACAGCTGATCTCATCATTTTCCCAAAAAGCCTGCCCTTCTTACGGCATTTCCCACTCTTGGGAATGGCACTACCTCAACCAGGCCCTCAAACCAGAAACCCGGGGGTCAGTCCAGGCACCTCCTGCCACCTTCTCCTGTGTATTCGGTCGCAGACCAAAACTGTTCAGTTTGGTTCCTTAAAATTTCTCTAGTCTCTCATTCTCCCGCCCCACTATTGTTTCTTGAGCTCGGGCCCTCATTTTCTCCTGCCCTGTCTATGCAATAGTCCCCTAACCCTTGTAGACACCAACTTCAGTCCGGCTCCAGGCATCAATCCATTCTCCCTGAGGCTGCCACAGGGATCTTTCTAAAACACAAAACCAATAGTATCTCCTCGCCTTAGAGCTCTGCCTTGGCTCCCCAGTGCCCAGGCAAACCCCATAGCACGGCACAGGAGATCCTTCAGGATCTGGCCCTGCCTGCTATCAGTCCCTTGACCTCTCTCCACTCCCATCCTTCAGTCAGCCCTTCTGAGCTAAGGACAGTTCCCAGCACACTGGGGCGAGCCTCCATGTCTTTGCTTCACTGCCCTGTCTGCCTGGGATGCTCTTTACCCAGTTCCCTGCTCATCTTTGGAGACTGTTCTCGAGAATTCCTTCTCTTTGAAGCCATTCCTGGCTACCTCCCTCGTAAAGGCTCGGCCATTCTCTGCTCTCACAAGTAACCCGCATTCCTGCTCTAGTACCTGGGATTACGTCTGCTGCCTATTGGCATGACTTGCTTCCCTACTGGGCTGTAAAGCCATTAGAGCAGAGATCAAGGTTGATTCATACCCCTTGTCCTAAACCCTGGTCAGTACCACTGTCCCTAATACAGGCCAGTGACCAAGCAAATAAATTTCAAAGAGCTGTGAGGACTGTGCATTTATAGCTAGCATTTCTTGAGTGTTCCTCATCAAAATGAGTTGACGTGTATTCTTTCCTTTAACTCTCCAACAGCACATGGCAGAGGCACTACTCCTGGAATTATTAGTCCCATTTTAGTGGGACAGAGAGAAGTTAAATAACATGCCCCAGGTCACAGAGCTAGGGAGTAGCAGGCTCAGGACTCGAACTCAGCTCTTTCTTAGTCCAAATCAACTCTGCTTGCCTCCACCTCCCAGTACATCAGACACTTGAAGGAGAATGAAATCTGTATGGCTTTTCACAAAGCTCAGTTTCTTTTTTTTTTTTTTTAAAGATTTTATTTATTTATTTGACAGAGATCACAAGTAGGTGGAGAGGCAGGCAGAGAGAGAGGAGGAAGCAGGCTCCCCGCTGAGCAGAGAGCCCGATGTGGGGCTCGATCCCAGGACCCTGGGATCATGACCTAAGCCGAAGGCAGAGGCTTTAACCCACTGAGCCACCCAGGCGCCCCCAAAGCTCAGTTTCTAAAACCTTGTGGGAAACCAAGGAATCTAGCCCTGACAGGAGAGAAAGCCCTGAGGCTATCCTCAAGGC